CCGCGGGGCTGGGGACCCGCCAGGCGCCCACCTGGTGCCGTAAAGGTTGCCCGAGAACTCCGCGTGCTCAATGAAGTCGCCAGCGGCGATGTCCCGCTGCATGGCCTCCCTGGTCACGAAGTGGTACTCTGGGGAGACCGCAGCCTCAGCCGGGCCCAGGCCGGCCCCCGCCCCCCGCCCCCCCGCGCAGGGCTCCGCGCACCCGGCCAGCTCACCTCTGCCGTCCTCCTCCCCGGGCCGCGGGTTCCTCGTGGTGTCTGCAAACAGGCCCTGTGAGCATCCCGGGGGGGCCCCGGCCGAGCCCCGCGGGCTGGGGCCCTCCCCGCACCCCCGGGCCCCGGGCCTCACGGGACACGCTGAAGCCGAAGAGGCCACTGTGCTCCCGCAGCAGCATCTTCAGCAGGGTGCTCTTCCCCGCGCCCGACGGGCCGCTCAGGACGATGGGTCGCGGCCCAGACATCCCTGCGGGCAGGAGCCGGCGTCAGGGGCCGAGGGGAAGAGGCGCTTCCGGGCTCCCCGGCGCCACCCCGGGGCCCCAGCAAGGTCCGGGCAGGCTGTTCTGGGAAGCGGGGAGGGAGGGGCTGACCCTCGGCCCAGGGCTTCCTGCTTCCCTTCTGGGGCCACCGCCAGGGCTCTTGCACCTGCCGCGGGTGACAACACCTGTGCGGAGGGGTGGGGGCCCCAGGACAGGAGCCCCGCCAGCAGGCACCCCACCCCGCACGGCCTCGCCCCAGGGGCCCAGGCCCCACCTCCCAGTGGGCTGCGGCAAGACAGAGGCTGCTCACCTGCTGGGGCGGCCCCACTCCGGCCCCCTCGGGGCCTCAGGCCAGCTGTGGGCAGAGGGGGGCCGCACCCAGGGGCTGCCCCACTCAGCGCCAACAGAGGCAGGGGAGCCCGCTGGCCTCGGTGGGCAGCACCTCGGGCCCCCAGCCCTGCCCAGGAGGCTTCACATTCCGGGGTGTCCCCGTAACCACCTGAGGCGACGGAGGACTGTGGGGACAGATGGAGCCCCCGGAGAGGAAGACAGGACAGGACGGCCCCGCCCCGCCCCGGCGCTCCGGCCTCCTGCCAGAAGGGACGGCCTCTCCTGGGCAGGGCCCGGGTGGGCCCCACCACCCGACACCGGGCCACAGCCGCGTGGGCGCACGCCTGCTGCCCGCCCTGACCTGCCAGGTGCTGAAGGAGCCCGGCAGGGGCTGCAAGAGCGGGAGGCGCGCCCAGGCGGGCTCTCAGCAACAGGCGCTTGAGCCACGGGGTCGGCGGGGGTCCCCCGCACGCCGCCCTCGTCAGGGACAGTGTGAGGGTGCCTGCAGGGCCGGGCCCCCGGCCGCACCTTCTGGCGGGCCCCTCACAAACGCTGCTCCTGCCCGTGTCCAGGTGGGCACGCTCACACCCGCCGTGTGCACGCAGGGCGCCCTGGCACTCCCCGGCCAGCCACTGCCCGCCACCGACACTGCAGCGTGGACACCCAGCGACTGGGGGGGGCCTCAGCCAGGACCGGGACGGGGGTCCAGCAGGCACCTGGTGGTCTGGCCGCCGCGGCAGGGGGACGGGACTCGAGACAGCCAACGCTGGCCAGGAGCCTGCATGTCCTCCCCGTCCTCAGCTCCGACCACTGCCGGGCCCCAGCCCCTGCTGCCTGGCAGGGAACTTGGGCGCCCACCAGGGCTGCTGGCACAGGACGCGAGTGCCAGGTTCCGGGCGTGCGGTGCCTCGCTGAGCAGGCCAAGACCCAGCCGGGAGGCCTCCCCGGCCTCGAGACCCCTGGGGGTCAGGCAGCCTGGGGGGTCCCGCGGGGCAAGAACCCAGTGGCTGCAGAGGGGAGGGGCAGGCTCCCCACCCCTCGCAAGCTCGGGGTGCCGGCGCCCGCGCCCAGGGCCAGGCCTCCCCCTCCCGGGGACCCCGCCTCCAGCTGGCCTCGGTCACCCAGTCTCCGCCCCTGGGAGGCCCGACACGCCCCTCCGGACCGCAGCCGGGGGAACGGTGCGCCCAGACACCCTCCTCGCCGCGCCGCCCGCGGGGCAGGCGGTGGGTGCTG